ATCCTCTGCAACTTTTCCATGCATAACTTTCATATCACGCGTGTCATTTTGCAATTTATGTAAATAATTTCAAAATTCAAATATTTACTTGTAACCCACTCACCAATACGATTTTTTTCTTAAAAAACTCAAACGAATCATCTCCTGAGCGCGTTTACAATAGAACAGGACCATCCTGTATATTGGGTTCAGAAAAGTTAATTGCACATTGGCTGAACCTAAAAATATTTTTATACTGAAGTTAGCTTTGTTCGTTCTTGGATAAAACGTTAACATTTTCACGAAGAAATGAACTACTAGGTCTGAAAGACTAATTTTCATCTCAAAAATTTAAAATTAAAAGAATCTTTAAGAATACGATGCGAGAATACAACTCCTTGTACTACATACCTTTATATTAAAAATGCGTAACAAATTTTTATGTCATTAGAATTGAAAACTAAAATGTTAAAAGTAATTTTCTTCCATAAATTTTTTTTCCCAAGATTCCACAGAATCTTCCTAAGGAGATGTCCTTAAATTTTTTTTTTTTGTTTGTGTAATACTTTTCGCACTTTACTGTATTACTTGTATATAAGAGTTTTTAACATCATAATTCAATTTACGCTTGGAAACATTCAAAACAAAACAAAATTAAGAAAAAATTAAAAGAAAAAACCTTCCTTTTCTATTTTGTATAATGTTTCAATTCCTGCAGGAGTTTTAATTTTCAATTTTCGGGTTACATTAATTTTCATATTTTAAAAAGTTTTTTTGTTTTCGGGTTTCATTTTTACGGTTCCGAGAAATAAATTTTAACCATCGTGGGAAATAAATTTAATAAATTGGTTAATAGGAGCACATTAGTAGAACATTAAAGAAACTTTGGTTTGGAAAAATGGTTATTTTTGTTTTCTCCCCAGGAAATACTTATAAAGGTAAATTAATTTTTTGCAAAAAAAAAAAAAATTATTAAAATTACAGTCAGATTTTTTGAAATTACATTAGACACATTTCGTGGTTATTAATTTTTATATTATACAAAAAATTGAAATTCAGGGTTATTTTGATGTTCGAATTGAATATGAATTGAATATGAATATGTATGTAAAAATACAGCATACTAGCACAAAACCTTATACTCTAAATTTGAATACATTTGGAATACATCTGGGTCCTATTGTTCTCGTTGTCATTGGTGATTTAACGTATATATATCATAACATATTTAAATTAATTTTATTGTACGTATGTATATCACACTCATATAATAGCAATAACACAAAAGTACGCATCATGGAACTACTTTTTACTCAAAACACTTCCAAATTTTATGATAATCATTTCTCAAAGTCACATTCACATGGAATTTATTATATCAATTTGAAGGACAGCTCGAAGTTTCCACACAAGAACGCTACTTTATTTTGAATTTCAGCTGTCCCCGCCAATTTTTTTTGTAATAATTTAGTGTTTCTAAAAATGAATAATAAAAAATTTTATCTCAATGTCTTTTAATTACAACATACAATTTAAGACAACATAACATAAATGTTTTGTTATATAACAATATTATTCAGTATTATACAATATATACATATTCCTATATATATATATATATATATATATATATTGATTTATCGGAAGGAAATTTCGATTTTCAAAAAAAAAACAAAATAAAAATATTTTAAAATTTAATAAATAAAAAATTCCCCTTTCAATGCCAATTCAATTATTTACTGACTAGCTACGCATACTCCTGGAAGAGAAAAAAAATTTAGAAAAAGTTCTTAAGGTTCATTTTATTCAATTGTCTTTTAATTTTTTTATTTATTTTTTAATTTTTCTTATACAATTACTTGGACAATGACATGTCTAATCGGTCAATAATAAAAATAAATTTCTTCCATTTTCTTTCCTTTTTCAGATATTTTATTCCACATAGGTTCTTTGAATTTCCACAAATAATCAACGTTATCATCATCATCATCATAAAGAAAATTATAATTCAATTTAATATTTATTTGATTTTGACTTTATTATATAAAAAAAAAATATCCTTAGATTCTTATAAATCTTTCAAATGCAATAATTTTACTTGAAAATTTCTTATATAACTTGATGATTTCTTTATGTGTTCTTTTTATTATTCCTCATGTATTGTTGATGATGTGTCATTGCCTTTTATTTATCCGATAAAACAAAAATCACTAAAATTAAATTAATTTAGGAATTCAGATTTGAAAGTCTGTATATAGGTTATTCTGTATTTTGTGATTTTATCTTAACAAATCATAAAACTCTTTAAAAGAATTTTAGATGAGTGAAGGTTTTATTTTTCGATATTTGCCAAATTCTCCGTCACATATTTAATAAAAATGAGCTACATTATTTAAATAATGTGTGATTAAAAAAAAATAATTTGAGTATTTTAATTTTTTCAAAATTTACAATATAATTGGATGTTTTGGAAGCAGTTTTCATTAAAATTTCAATAGCACTTATTAAATTTAATACAAAAGGATAACCTCGCCTGAATTTCGTTGAATAACATGCATAATATGTATAAGACTTGAGTATATAGGTACCTTCAATTTCGATAATTGAATAATTTTCATTCATTATAATCTCATTAAAAATAAATAGAAAAATTTATTTCTTTATTGAAAAGCCCAAATATTACTGTACATTTATGTTTCCATCCAAAAACTGGAAGACAATTTTCACAAAAAAAAAAAAACAAAATTTCTTAAATAATAAATTATATTTAAGAATATTCTGAACCCTTATCAATTTACTCAAATGTTAAACATTGGTAGGTTTATCGGTATAATAATACCATAAATTTTATATAAAAATTCTAATAAAGAACGTACATACGTAATGGACTGCGACAAACTTTATTGTTTAATTATAACAGCTTTTGAAATATTTGGAAATGTTTTGTATTACATTATGGATGAGAAACCATTTAATATCACACACATTTTATTAATAAATTAATTTTTCACTATGTAGACAAATACAATACCTATGAATAGCAAAAAGCAAAAAATAAATAACTTTACAATCTACTGTCATATATGTAGATAATGTAGCTACATATACAAAATTAATTATTGTAAATAGTTTTGTTATTCACAATATTGTTAAAGTTATTATTATTCACGAAGCAGTGTCATGAACTCACTAAATTCGCAAAGTTTTAAGGTATTATGATTTTCAAAGCGAATATTACTTTTTTAAAAGAAATTTTATGACATTGAAAGAAATTTTGAAAATTTCATTCTTATTTCGTAGCTTCGTTTATCCAAAGAAGTAAAGCAATTTAAAGAGGTCCTTTAAAATTGTTATTTTAATCTACATATTATTTAAGACTATATACAACGCATGTTATTCATAAATTTTTAATTTAATAAAAGTTGGATCAACCCAATGATTTATAAATATTGCATATATTTAGGACGCAAAAAAAATTTTTTAAAAGCGTTTGCATTCGGCAGTTAAGTAAGTGAGTTTAAATAAATGATTTATATTTTTTGATGGCATGAGATTTACCATTATATTTTCCCTTTTAAAGAAGTTTTGAAAAACTTATAGTTTTGGAAATATAAGACGACGAAAATTGAAATTTTACGAGTTTCAAGAGGTGATAAATTGAGAGAAGTGGAGCTGGTAAATAATTTTCTTCTAATGAAATAAATTATGTATTATTGTCTAAAAGATGCTAAAACTGTAGAATTTTACAAGTTCCCGTATCTAGACGAAAAATTATATCAAAAATTTGAAAAAAGAAACTGTCTTAATTAGTGGTTAATTTAAACGACCATTCACCTTTCTGCGTTTAAAGAATTCAAAAAGTATTTTTGGTTTCGTCATAATAAATAGTTAAAAAATGGAGAAGTGCTAAAAAGGACAAGATACAAAACTAATAGAACTAATGCAAGTTTATTATTCACTTATAAGTCACCGTATTCATTCCAATGTTAATTAAAAATTCAAATTTACTTTAAATTTCAAAACAACCCATTTATTATAATAAAATTTTGTTTACATTGTTGACTTTTTTAATAAATTTATTAAACGTAATTCACAATTGCAACGAATTTTGCTTCTTATGTTTCTTCGTACACGTAATTTTCATATAAAATATCTTTGGTAAATATAAAAATTGACAATTTCACTACCATTACCGTATTTTTAAAATTTAAAATAAATTTCTTTCAAGCTCATTCAAAGTACATATTTCAAAATACTTAATTCACAAAAATATTTGCAATTACTTACATATTTCTGAGATTTAATAGCATTTATCTGTTTCGAAAAATGTCAAATAAAATTCGTGTAATGTAACTCGATCATTCAATAAATTTAATTAGTATGGTGATTATTTGGAACATTATTAACGAACACATTCCAAAAATCTCCGTACCTATACTAACCCAAAAATTAATTATAATATAAATAATTTAATTAAATTATAATTAAAATTTTTATCAAATATTATTAGATATTATGCCATAATTTTCGAAGTCATTCAATTTTCATATTATTGGGTGTACTCATACAAGTTTTTTTTTTCCATAATTTTTAATTTGTGAATTAACAGAGAGTGTGTATGTGCACAACCAATCTACATATATGTCCATACAATCATTTTATATTTTTAAATGACAATAACAATGTCTTTAATAACTTGTTTTTAGAATTCGTTATCAATTTACGCAGTTGCACTTTTTTATATTTATAGCTAGAGTGTGATTCTTTAAATTTTTTCATTTCATATCTATATATATATATATATATATACATTGTGATATTATATGGCGAACTCGTTTGTATATGAAACACCCACAAAATAACATTCTCAGAAAATTTAAATTTTTATGAAGTAATGATGATAACTTTAAAAATACGTCTGTAAATTGAAAAATATTAAGTCGGAAAGCGAAAAGAATTATGAACGCAAAAATTATTATAATTTTATTTTGCTTTCTCAATATAATAACGTATATTTCTAGTTTCTGTTACGTTGACATTAATTTGATTCCAAAAGATGAAGCGAATTCACCTATTTATATAAAAAACGGAAAATTACATAATCCAGAAAAAATTCAAGTTGGAAACTATTCAATTATTGCTTTAAAATGGGACGTAGGTGACAATAGTTTATTGATTTGCGGAAATGGAAATAATATTGTTAGTAAGTATTGTCATTAATAAATTTTCGAAAAAAAAAATAAAATCAGAAAAACTATAATAAAATTAATTTTGCAGAATTATCTAAATCAGAAATAAAATTTGAATGTACATCAAATAATACACTTATAGAAAGTGGGACCAACAAAAAATTCATTTTAAATGATAAAAAATGTTCAACAAATATAAAAGTGAAAGTAAAAGATGCAAATAAAACATGTGATTTTGGAAATATAATTAGAATTGGATTTGAAAATGAAAATGATTTTTATGAATACATTGAAGTTTGTTATCATTATGGAAGCGCTTCAACTAAATACACAAAACATATTATAAGTGGAAAAGCTAAACAACTTGCTACTAATTCTAGTATTGTTATACCGTATAAAAGACCAACATTTAGTAAAGATGGATTACCATTTCATGCAAGGGACGGTGAACCATATAAAAAAGCAAATCAAATAAGTCGCTTTGAAAATATAACACAAAATGATGGTTCAAGTGCATTCGGAACTTCTAGCTTTCTAGCAATTGGTCATTTAACTCCAGTAATTGATGGAATTTTCAATTATTTAAAACAAGCTACAATGTTTTATATCAATGCAGCACCAGAATGGCAGGTAATTTATTATTTAATATTTTCTATACACATACCTAATAATATAAGCAAGTATTTTCTAGCCCACGTATTTTACATTTATTTGAAATTCTAATTAATTAATTAGATCTAATTCTCACTTTTTTTTCACTTACATATTTAAAAAACCTAAAAATAATTCTGACATACAAATGCTAACAATCGCTAACTGGAAATTAGGATATAAATGCTGGTAATTGGAAACGTGTCGAAAATATTGCTAGATGTACAGCATTAACGTTAAATGATGATTTAGAAGTTTACACTGGTATAGCTGGAATATTAGAATTGCCTAATACTGAAAATGAATTACAAGAATTATACTTGAAAACAATTGGTAATAATCCACTCAAAAAAAAGCCTCGTCTAAATTCTGATACAATTCCTAAAGAAACTCAAGATGATATAATACCAGTACCGAAATATTTTTGGAAAGTTTTAAAATATAAAGATAAAGCTATTGCATTTATTACATTAAATAACCCATATGCAGTACAAATAAATACAATAGATCCTTGTAATGATATATGCAGCCAATATGGTTATTCAACTAATGGTACTAATCAAGCTTTTCATAATTTTAAAACTGGACGTACAAACTGTTGTCAAGTAAATGATTTGGTTACAAAATTTCCAAATGATGTACCAAAAGAATTAGGACTACTTAAAGTAAATATATTAAGATACCAAGATTGTCAATAAATTATAATAAATAATTGCCTAAATATATGCAAAACAAATAAGATTTCGTCATTTTGTTTTATTTAATCAACTACAAATGAAGCTGTTTTATTTAATCAACCCAAAGAAAATTCCAAGAGAAGTTAATACAAAACGAAAATAAGTAGAGTTGACCGTATCAATTTAGTGATACCCATGTGAATAAATGATTTTAAAAGTAATATTGTTATTGACACACTGTTTCAAATAGTCTTGTTGTGTTATACATATGTATGGTCCTTATTTATATATCTACATATGACAGTTACCACATAAATCATACCATTTGAGAGATTTTCAATGAAAATAATGGCCATATTACCGTATCGTTTAGTTCAAAATTTTGGTAATATAATTTCATTATAGTTTCTATAATATATGATCAAATGACTTTCGAAATTGAGTGGTAGCTTCCCCCATGAATCAAGTAATTTCAACTAGTTTTAACAAATATAACTCCCCTAATAATGTACTTATTTGCGCAAATTGTCTATTTCATAGATCCGATAATTTCTGAGATAACTCTTAAAGTTGTCTGATAGCAATAATAAGCGCTCATCATATCGCAACAGCGTTTGTCGAAAATTTTCAGCGTTATTTTGTTTATAGAAGATTTCATTACTGTACCTTAAATAGTTTCCAAGATATGACCAAATAACAATTGAATTTGTATTCAGCTAAAAGAAGTCAAGAAATTTCAACGATTTTTATCATACATAACATCCCTAATAATACACATATTTTCTTTTGGACATTTCGAAATTATAACTTCAATAATTTCTGAGATATATTCAAACAACTTTTGAAGTTGTAGGGCAGTTGTAAGGCCGGACAGACAGACGCACAGATAAAAAGGTTTGGTTAAATCGAGTCAGAATTCAACGATGATCAAAAACATACACTCATGTCTCTTTTTCAAACAATTACTTCTTAGAGTTGCATACAGTTCTATAATTTTGATAGTGCATTTAATACGCTGAATTTACATTGAATTTGAAGAAGTATATATAAATTCACCCAATGATCTGGTTTGTGTTTATAATAAAAAAAATATAAAAAAATTTCATCCAGATGATGTAGCAACATACGATAAAAATCAGCCAAAATAAATGTCGTATTTATTATCATTTATCGATCCACTATCATTTATCGCGATCCAAATATATAATATACTACAATAGTTTGCGATTGTAATATGTAATTAGTTTTAAAATTTTTCCATTAACGCATAGACATGAACCTAAAATTCGATTGTTGTCTATGGAAGAAGTTTTTAAATTATTTAGAATTCGTCATTTATTACCAAGAGTGCGCCACAGAAACTTAAAATAAAATTATTAGTCAATCTACTAGACGATACAAGGATTTATTTTCTAAGGTTACTACTATATGTACATACATACCTAGACATTTCATTTTTAAACACTAGTTAAAAATTTTTTAAATTAAATTTCTCGTGCCTAAATACTTTATTAACACAAGTATTTTAATTATACTTTAATGTTAAACGTAACGAGTTCTAATGTAAAATCTGAAATTTGTATTCGAGCACGTAGACTGCGAATTGAGTATGCTCCGATTTCTAAAAAAACAAAAAAAAAATTTTTAGGTCAAGGTGAAAAACTTGATACACTTTAGGTGATTTTGATCAAATATGCAATTTGTTTTATTTGCTTTTTGAGGTAATATGTTTAAGAACATCAAAATTTAAAATCAGTGGTTGCCAAATCCTTCAAAGTACAAAGTTATGCAAAGTTTTTAAATTCTTCAAAATTTATTTTATTTATACATAACTAACTGTCAGCATAAAGATTATAAAACTAAGTCTGTTTTTATTATCAATTCAAAGCGCTCTTTGTTTTAAAACTATAAATTTGATTTTGTTTTATTTTCGGAAAGTGCATTTAAATTATTACGTATTACTATGGAATAATGACATTTTGAATTACACAAGTAACATGACACACTTTTGATTTGAACTGAGCCAATCACTATTTTATTTTAAATGTGTCAGAATTTTCTTTAACACAATAATATGTGAACATGAAAAATTTCACACTCTTCTAAAAATATTAAGTGTCATTTTTGACAAAACGGCCAGCATTTTTTCTTCTCCGAAAAATTTATAAGAAATTTTCAAAAATTATATATACTTTTGTTGAAATTTTCTGAAAATTTTCATCATTTTAATATAAAAGTTGATTAGATATTCTGAAAATTAACAAAACTATGATAAATTTAAAAGTGAAAACTTTAGATTCACAGACGTACGATTTCACCGTTGATAATGAGGTGAGAAATTATTTTTCCTAAAATCTGGCCATTGTGCCATTTCTTGGTTTTTAATATGATGTATTACAAGCAAAAAATTTTTAAATTGAAATTTTTCGCAATTTTCATATATTCTTTTAAAAAAATTTTTTTGATGAATAATACAAATTTTTTTTGCGTTTCAGACTACCGTTCGACAGTTCAAGGAAACCATAGCGGAAAAAACAAAAATTTCTGCAGATTTACAGCGAATAATTTATTGCGGCAGAGTTCTTGTGGATGAAAAACCACTAAAAGACTATGGTGAAATGATTTTTTTTTCAATAAGAAAAAGCGATTTAAAAATATACGGTTCTCTTTTTCAGATGTAAATGGGAAAGTAGTTCACGTAGTAGAAAGGCCACCACCGTCAACCCGTACTCTAGCTGGTTCGAGTACAACAAATGAAAATACACGTCGGCGTAATGGAACACAAATTCGTGGAACACCCATTTTTAGGGGTTTGGATGGTATGGTTGTCGGTACCATGAGCATTCCTATGAACGGGGTAATTTGCAAATTTTTTGAAGAAAAAATGAAAAAAAAGCATATAATGATATTTTAGCAAAGTCAAGGAAATATTCCAACATTAAATCCGTCATCATTTTGCATGAACCGCATTACTGTAGCACGTCATATGTTGGATTGTGTCAATAATATTATTTCATATTTAGAGCATCCAGAAAGAGCAAGTGTTCGAAGTTAGTCATATGTAAAATCATTACTAATAACTAATTTTTAGGGCCTTAATAATTCGACATTGGACATTCTTACTCAAGGGCGTTTCACTATGGAATCAACGGTGGTTGAAGTTGGAATTTCATCAGCGTCTAATATAGACTTAACACAAAATCAAACTCAAAATTTTATGGACGTTTTTCGAGGAGCATTATCTGCGGCTTTACGTCAAGATCGTCATCAAAACGTCACAGTTTTACAATATCCAAATGTATTCAATTCTGACGGTACTCCTGTAACTAATCCTGCAGCAAATGCAACAATTTCATTAGAGAATTCATTAGATCAATCACAGCCTGAAGCTAATACGGAACCTACCGGTTCAGATGAACAAGTCAATGAAAATGCTACAACATCTGAGCAAACCGCAACTCAAACTAATAATGAAACACCTTCTACTACTTCTGCTAATGCAGAACCTGCTACTTCTGCTAACGATACATCTAATAATGATACACCTAATCGATCAAATACAAATCGCAGATCACCATCTCAGTAAAATATTTTAATTTGTGTGTGTTTTTTTCGTGGTATACACCAATTTTCTCTTTTTGTTTTTTTAGGCAAAGAACAAGAACCCGTGCTCTCGCTGAAATTGTAGAGCAAATGAGATCAGTGCAAACAAGACTAGAACCCTATGTTCAACAATACTATGAGATGTTGGATAGTGAACCAATATTCGATGAAAATGTAAATCTATGAATATTATTATTTTCAACGATAATATTTATTTTGGTTTTAGGACACCACGGAGCGTGAAAATGCCCAAAGAATTTTCGATCGAGTTTCGGAAGCTTTACACTATATGTCTCATGCTTTACATGCTATATCGGATTTAATGTTAGATTTGTCACAAAGTGCTCCCCGATACTTATCGTGCAGACCAATTTTGGTTGAACAAAGCGGATTTGTCAGCTCAAATAACTATTTGGCTCCGTTTATGCAACCCTCAAATGAAGGCGGGATTTCAGTTCATCTTCCGACAAATAATAACAATTCCGCACAACAAAATGTTTCACAAAATCAATCAAGCCAAGGTTCAACATTGTCCCCACCAGGAGTTGGTACCAATGGTAACGGCGGGGGTGGTAGGTCAACAACGACTGTTACTCCAGAAAATTCGTCAAATGCGAGCAGTGCAACAACTCCAATAGCCGGTGGTACGTCATAAATTAAATATAATCAAGTAACATTCCATCCTGTCTTTGAGATAATTACAGTGATAACAAAGCATTAGCATATTTGCATACTTTTTTTTTTTAAAGAATAACCAAATTTCGAAGAGAATGAACATGATATACATATTACTAATTTAACAGTTTTGTTTAAAATATTATGGCACAGATCTAAACGTAATTTTAAATTTAAAACTTTTTTTATTTCCTCTATTTGTAGATGAGCAACCAATTGCTGAAATTGTTTTAAATATGCCGGGAAGAGTTATAATTCGTACGTCTTTATTTTGTTTTGTTTCTGTTTTTTATATTTTCATTAATACTATTAAAAAAAGACTTAAATAACAAGGTTTGAAAATTATTAAGTACTTATTTGTTTTTATATAAAACCGTCAAACGAAATTAGAATAGTTGTAGTTTTACTAATTGAATTAATTCATTTCAACTTTTTAAATATTAATGTTCTTAAATAGATTGAAAAAGACCAACAATGATCTGATGAGGCTTCCTTTAATTGCAATGATTACCTATCAGAATTCTATTTATTGGTTTTATTTTTAGTTAAAACTTAATTTTTCATTTTTTTTTAGCTACAAACCCTCAATTGCAAGTTGCTCGTTTGATTCAAGCTGTAGTCAATTCAGCTCCAATGGATGCAGATTTGCATGTTCAAATAAATGCCCCAAATCTTCTTTCTGTTGGAATACCGATTGGAGCCGCTGTCGGGCCTGGGGGACCTTTTTCAGCTATAACAATACCTGTCGGCAATCAACAAAGTGCAAACAATGGTCAATCCTCAACCCAACCAAATATTCCAATTTCATTGACATCAGCTTCCAATTCTGCTAACTCTTCAACGAACGCTACGGAAACAGAAAATAATAACCAAGAACAACCTCGTGTCACAACTGCTACGCATCCAACTACATCAACTCAAACACGTTCAACTCCAAGACCACAGGTACATGTTGCAAATATGCCATCTAGTTGGAGTTACCGAGATATCCCGGAAAATATGTTTTCATCTTTTGACAGGTAAACGTCAATAAGGTGATACATATTCAAATTTTATTTTGATTTTCCTTTTAGATTTTTGCCATGTAGCAGTCATCATATTCGTGATTCTGAACAAAATTCTAACACGACTGAATCCACTAATGAGAGTGGACCATCAGCTATGCCAAACCTTGTTATTCCAAATATTTTGTACCGAACTCGACCTCAAGTAAGGCGTCGCAGAGCAAATATTTTCAGCCCAGCTGTGAGAAATCCTGCGGGTACAGTTGGCAGCAACGATACATCCCAATCTGCTTCAAATGAGATAAATGATAATAATAATTCGACAAATCGGCCCGCTCAAAACTCAGGAACCCCTAACAATAGAAATCCAAATGTAGCCGATGAAATACAAAGTCTTTCTAATGAAGAATTAAATATTCCAATGAGTATTTTTGGCAGTAATCTTACTTTACGAGATTTCATTGAGATAGCTCCAAGTCCAAACTTACTTAATAGAATTCGTGGTGAATTACTAACATGTATTATTAACAACTTGTTTGCTGGCTCAACAATTACTGAAGAAAATATGACAAATGCAATTAACACATTTATACAAATGTTAAATGATGTACTAATGTTTTTACCCCAATTTGATTTACCAGATTATGACGCACGTGCTTCTGTTGAAAATTTTTTAAGAAATCGTATCCCATTTATTATAAATTTAATACACGAAGATTCATCTGATGATTTTGGCACCAGATTTCTTAGAGAATTAATTCAGTTTGTACAACGTTTATTAATGATTTTAGTTACATGTGTTGGAAGAAATAACGCTGAAATTTATTTAAATCAAATATCACAAATGGCTATATTATCAGAAATAGGTATGAAAGAAAATTAATACACTTTGATTTATAATTAAAAAAAAAACGAAAAAATTTTAGCTGAAGAACAAGAACCACGTAGAACCCTTCACCGTCATTTAATGTCAGCAATAACTCGGCAATTGGACTTAACTGCTCAAAATTCAGGCGAAATACAGCAATATTTAGTAATTAGAAGGCCTGCACCTGAGAATGGTCAAATAATTGCACCAAACATAACGGTTGTAGTAAGTGTTATAAATGCCCTTTAATAAATATTTAACATGAAAATGTATACTGATGAAAATTCAAATGGAATTTCAGCCAATGGAAATTGATGCTTTACCGGTTACAAATAATAATAATAACATTAATAACAATAATAATACTTCAACTTTACCAGCAAATCCGCTATTAGAAATTTCGGGATTAACCCTTCCAAATCCAAGTCAAAGACCTATTGATGACCCACTTCCAACAGTTACAGTTGGCAGTGAACAGTGGCATAATAATTTTCCAGCTTCATGGTTACCAATTATGACAAGAGATACAGAACGTCAAAGAAGACAGGTACCTATTCCAAAGTCAACTAAAATACCACAAAATTAACAATAAAATACAAACCAAAAAAATTTTTTAGGCAATTCAGGCCCCTTTTTCAGATGCTTATATATCAGGTATGTCTGCTAAAAGACGGAAATTAATATCAAATTCAAAATCACCAACCGAAGTACCTCTTTTAATTGCTGACGGTATTAAAAAAACTATTCAAATAGCTGGTGTAACACAATCGACATCATCATCATCAAATAACAATGGAAATATATCTAATAATTCTTCAAATACAAATATTAATGACATTTCAGTTGCAATTGCATCCGATTCAGTTACACAGAATTCTTATATTGAAGCATTACGTACTAGCATTCAAGATCGATTGAAAAATGATCAAAATTATGATCCGAAAAAGTTTCCAAATAGCTCAAAATATTTTTCAAAATAATTCGGTTAATTTTAAATTATTTAATTTTTTTTTTTAATTTTTCTTTTTTTTTTAACTAAAATTATTTAAAAAAAAAATAACATAATTTTATAAATATGCATAAAATCATAACTATAAACATATTCACAATAATAAAAAAAATTTTAATTAGTAAATATATAAATTATTAATTAAAAAGAAAAAAAAGAAGTGGACATTCTATTGATTAGTCTCAAAAAAAAAAAAAAATCATCATTTCGATTTTATTTTTTTAAATACAAAATTCAATTTAACTTGATAATTCAATAAATTCATTTTAAAAATTTGAATTTTAATTTTAAAAAGAATTGTTGCAAAATTTAAAATTGTAATTTTAGGATCACAATTTCAAATTTTTAATTTATAAATAAATTAGATTCATACAATAGGACATACAGAATCGGACATACTAGATACATATATATTATTGTTTGAAAAACAGGGTAGAAAAATTAATCATATTTTTCAAACTTGAAAAAAATATAACATCTTTTGCTTTAGATACTTCATTAAAATAATTTTGTTGCCGTACAATAAAACTATTAATACTACTAATGAAATAGTTATTATGTAAATCAAATTATAGACAAAAAAAATGGATTAACAATAATTTTAAGTATTATTAATAATAATTCTAAAAATTATTAAAGAACAAATTTTTTCATATAAAAAGGGAAAAAATTTCAAAATCGTGTTTTGAGTCTATTACGGTATGCATGCATGTAAAACAATTTATGTTTTGTCCTTTTCACTTCTAAAGTTTGATTGAAACTGAGTAAAAGAAACATATTAGACTTATAAGAAAAATACATATTTCACATTTAGGATTATAATAATTATAATAATGATTGAATATTAATAATTATTATTAAACGTAAAATTTATAATCAACAAAAATTTCTGATTAAAATTAGTTAAAGTAAGGTTTAAATATTAACTGCAAATATTTATTTGAAAATATTAAAAAAAAGGCAAAAACAAAAATTAGCAAAAACATAATAGCCTATGATAAGAAAAAATTAATTGAATTTTATAAAAAAAAATTAATTTAAAAAATTATTTTACCTTACACAGAAATTATGTTGTAGTATGAATTGATCAATAGAATTGTGTTGTAAAAATAAATTCTGTTTTTATTTTGGATTACATTTGTAGTTTAAAATTTTGGCAAAAATCAATTTTTTTTAAATATACAAATATCACAAATAAAACATTGATAATGCTTTTAACAATAAACTAGTTTTTGTTTTTAATATCATTTCGTTTTTTATAAAAAAATATGTAAGTATGTGCATATATTTGTTCCAAAGAAAAATATATGTTCCCAAATGTAGAAATTTTCGCAATCTACATAATATTATGTATGTACTCGTATATATTTAAAGACTACTATGTGTTTCGCAATTTGCAAGTTTCAGTTTTATAGTTACTTATATGTACTCTAATTTGAAAAGGTAAGCGCAAATTACATTCCTGAAAACTTTCGTCGAAAATAATTTAGTTGTCTCCAATAATTTAATTTTTGATTCACGATTACAGAAAATCATGTAGCACAAAATCTTCTTTTACATCGTTTATTAATAAGAATTTTATTTTTTATTATATTAATGCAGATGCTCGTAAAAACAATAACAATTAAATTTAAAAAAAAAAAAATTGAATTGATCAATATACAGCCTTAAATAACAGATGACTTAAATGTTTTTTTTAGTGGATATTGGTGCTGTTGCCGGTCGTGGTTTTGTTGGATCATATTTATATGTTTTAATTAAAGGCCCCTTTCCAGCTTTAGCAAATTTAATTTCATCTAATCTTTGACGTTCTTCTAATTCTTTACTAATTTTCATATTGCTCCATGCTATAAAACATTATTGATTACAGAATAAAAATAGAACATATTATTTTCCTTAATGTTAATTTTTTACTTACATTCTTTCATTCCAGCTACGAAACCTTTATTCTTTTTTGGAAGTGCATCAGCAGTATGAGTAATAAGTTTTTCTATTTTGAAATGTTCTCTAACTGCTGGGACTCTTAAAACTGCCACCTAAAAATTTCATTTCAATATTTCATTTATTTTATTTTAATTTAATTTCAAAATTTAATAAATCGAATCATACTTGACAAAGAGATATAAAGTTACTTGAAGCCCAATAGCATAAAATTGCAGCGGGGAAATTCATAGTAAATGGAAATATAACTATAGGTAATGCTCTAAGTATATATTTCATGGTCTGCATATTTGAAGCTGAAAGACGTGCCGTATCAGTGCCAATTTCAATTGTTAAATATAGTGTTGCACAGGTAATAACTGGTAATAAAAAATAAGGATCTGACATTGTCAAATCTGTAAACCAAAATATGCCCCCTTCCCTCATCGATTCGACTGGTGCATTTGCCATTTTCCGCAATCCCATAAAAAATGAAATGAATATTGGAGCTTGTACTAAAGGTACAAGCATATTTTTAAAAGGATTTAAATCTTTCTCTTTCATAAAATGCATCATTTCTTGAGCGTATCTTGCTGATTCAATTGCATTTCCTGATTGCCTCGCTTCTGTCATTTTAAGTTGTAACAATTGCATTTGAGGCAAATTATTATTCATTTTTGCTGCATTTCTTTGTGCTAATATAACTAAAGGAAACAAGGCTGTTCGAACCATTAACGTACCTAGGGCAATAGCACCCCACCAAGGTAAATCAAAACTTATATGTAAAAAATCCAATCCCTGTTGTACCATGCCAACTGGAGTCCATCCTCCAAGACCTATAGATTGCAAAGTTGGCTCTGCTAAACTGCTCGTAATATCAGGCACAATAGGTGCGGGAGGAGGTACGGGTGCATCCGGAATATTTGTCAAATTAATTATGGTTTTGGTTGTTGCATCTGCACTTGAGAATCGATATCCTGCTTCACTTAATGCATATTTCGTCCATTTCTCTTTCTTATTTCTTGGTAAAACAGTTTCAGTTTTTTTGAAAAGGATTGAAAAATTTCGTAATATATTCGGTTTATTTACGAAATTAGCATCAATTACCTAAAATTTAAATATAATTCTTAAGTTCAATTTAAACAGAAAACTTATTACCTGTCCTTGAAAGTTGAGCACTTGATTTAATAATATCCTGCCTTTAAAAGTTTTTACATGTAACATTATAATCAATTTATTTCAAATGATTGCCCTAAGTTCGTAATATTTATATTATGGTATTTTTACAGCAAGCAAAGTTAAAATAAAAAACTAACCTCAAATTACTGCCTGTAATACTGTTTATTCCCACAAGGGTGATCTACAGTCTAACTACGAAAATGTACTTAAAAAGAAAATTTAAACAGGGGTCAACTTAATTTTTCATTTCGCTACAATTACTATATATTGATGTTTGGGAAAGAAGACGAGCTTATAATTAAAAAAATCTCTAAATTTAAAATATTTAATTTTAAATTTTAAGTGGAAAAAGCGGAAAAACTACAACATTTGACAACTGTTATTTCTTCTTCACATATATTAATATGCCATTAAGTTTAACGTTTATAGTTCAACAGTACAACTTAAATTTGCATCCTAATAACTGTGCAGCATTCATATTATGTGCATAAATAATTGTGAAGCAATATGAAACATAGACTGGCAGTAAAACAAAAATCTTCCGCCATATTTAAAGAAACGTAAGCTTTGATTTGTAAATTGTCCTAATACCCATTGAGGGGAAAAAGAAAGATAGACCGTTTAATAGTGTATTAATTTAATAAATAAGTTTAGTATTATATACAATGGCGAATTTAGTTTTCTAAAGTACTCAACGATGACTTTTTAACTACAGGCGTTTTTGTTTTACATCTGAGCTAATTCAGATCAATAAAAAGTAGGTTCGTTTAATTCTTAGAGATAAGAATTTGTAGGAGCTGGCATAGATTTTGAAGGACTAATATAGAGTTAAACTCATATTGCAAGTTATGACAAACTTAAATAATCAGTTTCTTTAAATTTTGTCAGCTCAACTTAAGTTTGCAACATACAAAATATTAACGAATTATATTTCAAATTTTAGAGGAAATCAAGAAGTTCAAATAGTTCTAAAGCTTTATGATATTTTTATATTTCAGAAACGAAAGATAAATATATTCTGAGGAAATTTGGACATTGACAGTTTCAATGGTTAACGCAATATTGAAATGCATATATATTATTTAAGTTCCATTTACGTGTTCATGACTATTCATTGCCCATATTAATGAAACGGCCTTTTTCGGTACATATATGAGTAAAATATAACCTTCATTTTTTTCATGTAATCATTGTTTTTTTCGTGTAGCTAATTTTTTTCCATTGTTCAAAATGTCTATCAAATAAAATAAGACATTTCAAATAGTGCAACTAAATCCCAAAATAACTAAAAAAACATACGATTCATTCATTGTATGTTATAAATTTTCATAATATACCAACACAGATAATCTATGCATTTGTTCAAGGTAGCGTAGTTGTGCTCATTTTGGCCCTACTGGTAATTTTTTTAAATTAAAAAGTAATAAAAAATGCGAACGTACTATTTAATATACCTTTATATACAATCAATACTTTAGTGCTAACATTTTAAGAGTTCGTATTCGATCCGTACTAGCGGTGTCGAAAGTACTAATATAGTAATATTGTACTATAGTAATACTACTATTTCGCGAAGCATACTACTGTATTAATCTAACTCAAGTTGTACTGCTATGTTTTTTTAATTTATATTTTATGAGTTATTCTTATTAAAAACTTGAAACAAAATACTGCATTGCGGCAAACCTTATTTTATATTGATTGGCGTTTTATAAATAATTGTAAACTTATTAAGTAGAGGTTTGTTTTTTTCAATTTAGGAATAATGCGATGTATTATTATTTATAAATGATGTTTTTTAGAAACACTGTTCAATTTATTATTTTTTTTTATCATGAATGAAAAGAGCCTATTTACTTTTGATACAAATAAAATATGTATTTCAAAATGTATGAATGAATAAAACATGAGTTAACATAAATATGTATTGTTTTTAATGAAGAAAAATCTGTGATTTTTAAAATATGATAGCTATATTTTTGACAAACATAAGTTATGAATGCAGTTAGTGTTTAAAATTGTTCAACTTCCACTTTCCACTAGTTAAATATTTATTTCTTTCGGAAAACTAGTTTAAAAAAAATCTTTTAAAAGCGTTATGACTTATAGATTCCAAATGTAAAAAAAAATTCCAATCGTGTTTTAGTCAAAATACCAAAAATGTAGTTATAATGTTTTGATAGAAAACCTTCCAAATATTCTGGTCTCAAAAAGTTTATCGAAAAAAAATTGTTTTAAAATTGTACTACTCTCAGACTGCATATCAAAATATACTACCCAACATTTAGAAATGTACTACTAAAAAAAATTATAAAACGACAGCACTAATCTATTTTCCGTATTATGACGAACTGCAAGTGACAAATATTTTAGTGACAATTCAGTAATTTTTTGATGTTTCTATAGGATTGTACGTCAAATTAATTTCCAAAATAAAAGGGAAAAATTATTGAAATTTATAATTTTAAACTAAATACAATTCGTATAACACCAAATATTAATAGTTTTTGAATAGTTTTCGATAATAATAAAATACATTAAAATAAAATTTCATACTACAATCTACGTCAAACGTCAAAGAAAGGATATCAAATTCGTCACATAAAGAAAAGTTATAAATTATAATTAGTATAATGTATAAATAAGTAGAAAAAAATTCTAAATTTAGTGTTGATACGATAATTGTGGAGAATACATATTAAATATATATTATAAATATTTTCAAATGCAAATACGAAGGTGTTTGCATTATAAGTTAAAAAAAGAATCCTTATATTAAATTTTTGAAAGTTCGGGGGTATAAAGAGAAAAAACTAGAACACCTACCTACATTCTATATTGTACCTATGTACGAATGCAATATAAAACAAAAACGTAATACAAATTATAAAATAACAGCTGAGTAGAAAATTACAAAAATTTTTATACACATAAAATTATAACTATATATTATTAATAAATAAAAATATAAGCATGTCTAATCAACTCATGTAATTTTTATGATTAGAAAGTAAATGATTAAATAATCTGATGACCTGATGAACATAAGATTTTAAAAGCTGATTTGCTTCCATAGTAATGTTCAATAAACCAACTTATCTACAAAAACACATATAGAACAAACGTAACTTCAGCAACATTACATTTAATTTATTAAACATTTTGCCTAGTTAAATTACTTTTAGATAAATGAATGTAATTTTTTTTTCTTTTTAACGCCAAATATGATTTTTGTGGATCGGATATTGTAGGAACTCTAATTTTGGTTACGTCCCTCTTTAAATATATCAAGGAAAAGTTAATTTATGAAAATTATAGTAGCTACTTTAATTTGAATAAAGAGTTTAAAGAAATAATATTAGAAAATTGAAAATGAGTGGACGTGTTAGAAGGACAGTATACGGTTATCTAGACGAAGATATTCCAACACTACAAGAAAATATATATGAATATTTGTCAGACAATTTATCAGTAATATGTGTTAGAGATCAATTGACAGAATTAAAATTTATACACGACGATATTTTATTACCATCAGAAATATGTGACCGTTTTTTAGAATATCATCAAAAGAGTAATCGTGACGTAGATGATTCTTTTGTTAACATTTTTCGAGATACTCAAAAAACACCATTAAAATATGTGCATTTACGAAATAGTTCTATAACAAGTGAAGGTATGTAGTTCCTATTTATACAATCTTATAAATGCAAATATGAAGATTTAAAAAAAAATCTTATTTCAGGTTTAGAAATTTTATTTCGACATAATTTAACATCACTGTCGATGTGGTATTGTAGTAATATTAATTTGGAATCAAGACATTTGTTGGCGAAATATGGAGGAAATTTAAAATCATTAGAATTGGGTTTAGATGTTGACTTATTACGTTATCCAGAACCAAATGAGAAGTCACCAGTAGATTTTCAATTAAACTTTCCTAATTTGCGTCGTCTTGTTCTTCATGGAGTAGTTTTACATTATCGCCTACAATTTAACCATTTACATGATTTAGTTTATTTGGATTTAACACAATGTTTTCTTAGTTTTTTCAATTTGGGATCATTATCTTTATTGCCAAATTTAACAACATTAATTTTACATAATATTTGGCCAATTGCAAATCACCTGCACGTAATATGTAGAATATCAACTTTAAAATGTTTAGGTATAAAAATAGATAATATGTATATTGCTTTTACAGAAATACTCAGAAATTTTATTTCTTAAAATTACACTTTTTATAGACATTTCTGTAGGTGTTTCTACAAACGGACAAGGGACTTATGACTTAGCAGATCAGACTTTAGAAATGTTGGTAGAAAATTTACCTAATTTAACACATTTGGACATCTCAGGAACGAATTTAGCTGGAACTGGTGTAGCTCAAAAAGAATCAAATTATAAAACACCTTCTGATATAGCGGGGCTATCAAGTCGAACTTCAAACCCTTTACAATTTTTAGGACTTTATCATACAGCACATTGGGCATGCAAAAGGCATGATATTCCTGCTTTAGAGGTATAAAAATTTGTTTATTTTTTTTTATAAAATTTAAGAACATTTTAATATCATACAGATCGCTGGCGATGCAAATGAAAAACAAATACTAACAGCTGCTAGATATTATTATGACAGACCAGCTGTCTTAACAAGCGTAATTAGCTTTGAGAAGATATTTTCAAGTTATATAAAAAAAAGTTTTTTACATTATTTTTAGGTTCTCAATGATTTGTATCATCTTTTTCGATTTGAAACATGTCAATCAGTTCATGAAGCACTTGATGTTGTATTAACAGCAATGGATAGACATTTAAAATACAAACATATGCAAATATCTGGCAGGTAATAATTTCTTTAGAATAATGTATGAAAATGTCTATTTTGCTATTATTATTTTAGTGCCACGTTATTTTACATTGTTAAAGGGCAGGATAGGGCAAAATTTGGTACACCTTTAAAAAATCACATAATACGAACATTATTAAATGGTATGCAAATGCACATATCAGATGATACTATGTTAAGAAATGGTTATCTCACATTTTGTCAGTTCCAAATGCCCCACGATGTGGTAAAACACACATAAAATTATTCTACTATTTATATAAGTTAAATGTATCCTATTTTCATTTGTAAAGGTTTTTGAATACGAAAGATTGATAACAGTACTTTTACATGGTGTTTCCAATACTGAACAAGAAGGGTTCGTGCAACGCATAGCAATATATTTACTAAATACATTAGCGTGTCAAGTAGATGGAGCGCAAAAATTATTTTTAGGAGACTTGAATGTTATAAGTGTAAGAAATCAATGTCCTCTATTTATCACAAGGAACAAATTTAAAAATTCTTTTATTAAATTTTATTACAACAGACAATGCTCAGTTTAATACAAGATCGATTAAGTAGAAATGTATCAGATGATGTAATGGAAGTTGCATGGTCGACTATGTGGAATGTAACTGACGAGACTGCAATCAATTGTAAAAGATTTTTGGATGGAAAAGGAATGGAATATTTTTTAACTTGTTTAAGAGTGAGAGTTATTATATAATTAAAATCTATATCCAACATTATAGTTTTTTTGCAGATATTTCCAGATCGTCATGAACTATTAAGAAACATGATGGGTTTACTAGGAAATGTAGCTGAAGTGAAATGGTTGCGGCCACGTCTAATGACAACAGAATTTATCGATGTTTTTTCCGATTTACTTGATTCTGAAAGTGATGGAATTGAGGTAAAATATATTGTTATAATTCAAATTTGATATTTCAATAAAAAACTTAAATGAAATTTTAATTAAATTATTTTAGGTTAGTTATAATGCAGCTGGCGTCTTAGCACACATAGCATCAGATGGTGATGCAGCATGGGTAATTGAAACTCCTACTCGGGCTAATGTTTTAGTAAGAATGGTTAAAGCAATTGAATTATGGAATTTAACAAGCGAAAGAAATATCAATTATAGAAGCTTTGAACCTATTTTAAGTCTTGTTCGTTGTTATGATACACCTGCATGCCAACATTGGGCTGCATGGGCCCTGGCTAATTTAACTCAAGTAACTAATTTTATTAATTCTTTGATATAATATATATATTTTATTATTTATGTATATCTAACATTTTAATGAAATCGTAGGTTTATCCAACAAAATATTGCACTTTACTGGAACAAGAAAATGGACGAGAAATTCTTTCAGAATTAATAGAAGATCCAAGACCCTATAAGCGCATTAAAGAGTTAGCTCAAATGGTTTTAGATGAATGTGATAAAGAAGCAAAGAAGCTTGATGGGTAACAACCGAACTGTAGATGCATATGATTTTTTAAAAACATAAAATATGACATTTTGCAAAATATTAAGAAAAAAAGCAAAAAATTTATAGAAAAACTGGAAAATTCTCACAATTTTAGCTATTAAAAATGTAGAAGATCTTTTTAAGATACTCCATTTGTGTTATCCATCCTTTCATTTAAACTCCTTGTAGAGTTCCTTTAGTTTTTAAACAATAATATTGTTGAAAGGCGAAGATGGAATTATTATTTTTGATTTTTATATAGTTTCCATTTAGTTTAATATCGTATACAATATCATTTAAAAGATTATAATTATGTAATCTTTGTATGTATTATAAGAATTTCAATATAGAGTTTATTGAATTTTAAGAACTATTCAAGTAAACGTTATAAAATAAGAAAAAAAAGTTTTGTAGAGATCAAATTTTATTTTTGGAAGCCAAAATACTTCCTTATGTACACATTGTATTAAATTATGAAATTATTAAATATTATTAAAGAGAAATTCGATATTTATGTTAAGAATATCTTAATTTTTATTTTTTGTTGATTATGCAGGAATTATTTTTTTTTAGATATAATGGAGTACTTTAAATTTTTTAAAACTTTAAACCATAAATTTCTAAATTTTTAACTGAATTAAATAAAATTTTCTAGGAATTGTAAATTAAAGTTCAGTTTCACGAACGTTTTTTTGTAAAAGAAAATACAAACTCAAAATATGTAATTTTATTAAAAAATAAAAGAATGGTAACTTTTTATTAAAACTTTATTAAAAAACTTTTTATTAAAGTTTAAAGTTTTGAATGGTTTTTCTAACTGAGAATTAAGCTTAACATAATTTACCTTAGCTATTGCGTGTTGTAGTAAACAATAGATACGTATTATTTATTAGAAAAAAAATTTCAGCAACTGCTTTTACTTTGCAATAAAATCAATTTTATGTTTTCTATTTAATAAAATATGTATCAAACATACATACGTAATTATATGATTGATATTTAATTTATGTAACTGATGTATTAAATTGCAAAAATTATATTTTCAAAATTAAAAAAATAAATGCAAAAAAAAAAAATAACGTTAATTAGGTTATGTTAGTTATGTTACTAAAAAACAAAAAATAAAAAATAATTGAGATAAATGATATGAAGTTTGTAAAGAAAAACCTTTTTAATATTTAAGTAACTAAAATAATAGCAATGCGGGCTTCATTAAAAGAAACGAAAAAAAAAACAAAAAACAAAAAAAAAAGAGCAAAAACAAAAAAAAATACTAAAGAAAAATATTTAAAATGAAATCAGTTGTTTTTCTTAATTATTTAATATTTTATTTAAACAGGTGCATCATATATTCTGTTAACATAATTGCTTAGATAACAAATTATTATTTCTTTTGGCTTCCGATATGAAAATTTGCTTGCTTCATAATCATATAGAAATAAAGGAAATTTTGCAAAATAAATAAATATATACATACATGGATAAAATTATGCAATGTTGTATATTTATTTTTAGCATAATAATCAAATATTTTCCTTTTATTAAATTGGCTATATAGATATTATAATTGACCTATAGGAGACAAGGATCGTGAGTAACGTTCTTAGAAGTAAGAGTTCAAAATGCTAAATTAACACGAGTTAATATAACAGATATTTTTATAAACTCAATACTGCAAAACAATATCTTCGAAACGCAATGCTTGAAAGACATTTTGTGATGAATAAATAATATATTTTTAAATATTCTATAAAATCGTTTTTGTGTAAAGAACTTTGAAAGATCTACTCTCATAAAAATATACGCTGCCAATAATAATAAGAAACAGACATTATGTAAAAATTTAATTAAAAAGTTATGAATATAAAGTGAAGATGGAGGAATGAATGTAAGTTAATATTTTAGTTCATAAATTTTAGAGGTATTATTTAGTGTCAAAAATTAGTTGTCATTTATGCAGTGGTGTTAACTGTTTTTAAAAGTAGGTCTGTTTTTTTAAACTTTTTAATTTTCTGCTTTACAATACCGTTGACACATGTAGAATTAAGTTTTAATATCTGCTGACATGAACTCAACCGGTGCTTAATTTTATAAAGAAATTTCTTTGATAAAACAAACTTTAGAATTATATACCGTAGTGATAACATAATTTCCTATAGTCAGACTTATAAATTAAGCTAGTTGGAGATAATTGAATTTTACAATAGTGACTTTATACATTTTCGAAAACAAAACTCTCTAAGAATGAAAATTGATATTTCATATGTATATTACGTATATTACTTTTTGAATCCAATAAAACTACAAAATATCCTTGTAATATATTTTGCTAGCTTAAAAAGCATTCATCCCAATCAGATATAGCCACCAGTTTCAAATATGAGTATAAATGCATGAGAAATCATTGTTACATACTCAATTAGATCGCCATAATTTAGTTTGCAAGTTTCATTTTCTCAGTTTACTTTGCGTTGTCTTCATCTTATTAAATAGCAGAATTGTTCTAAATATTTTTTCAAGCTAAAAAAATTTATGAATCCTTAAACTTTTTCTTTTATTATATCTATTATATCATAAAACTTTTTTTGTATATTTCAAGATATAGCAATTAATTATTAAATCATATGTATATCACACCTATGCCTAAAAATATTTTTCTCAAAAATAGCTGACTAAAATAGATTTAATTAGATTAATTGGCGATTTTCGGCGTACAGTACAGGAAATTCACAACAAAATCATTTTTTAATTAAAAAGTTTAAGTATATAACAATATTTTTAAAAGATGCTATTATAATAGCACTTAAATCTTTTAAATAGATAAATTTTATAATTATTTTTGCAAACGTTCCAAGATTTTAGTGTATAAATTAATAAAAAAATATTATTAATTTATAAAAATATTATTCATAATTTCAACTTTAATGATATTTGAGCAGCTTAAATTATTTTTGTTTTTAATTTCTTGATGTACGCATGTCAAAAATATTAAATATCATTATCGCATTAATCAATTTGAAATATCAAGAATTTCAATCGTTTATGAAAAAAAATTAACAATAAAAACAAATCAATTCTTAGAATGGTGTACGTCTGTAAATCAGAAATTAAAACTGTACCTAATTATTTACTTCCTCAATTTTAATAACAGTAAATAATTATTGTCAATGAAATTTAATTAGAAAATTAAAAAGAAAATTTTGCAAATATTTCGGTATAATGATATAAGTATGTAATAAGTATGATATAATGTGCAAAAAAAATAAAAAACTCATATGCATATAAAGAATAATTCAACTCATACAATTTTTTTAAATATCTTCTTGAATTATTATAAAATTATTATCTGAAAATTTTAATTGATTTTTAAAATTTTGTAATGAAATTGAATAAGTTTATAATACCCATAACTGGCTAATAAAGATTAAGATTCAAAAAATTTTTGATTTAAATTTTATAAAGAGGTTTGAACGACATCAGACCCATGTATGTGCATAATATAGATTATAGAGTACGGGTTTATTAACCATAAGTTTGTAACGCAGTAAACGGTATACATTTTATAAATTTTAGTACATTACAAAGCACCGATCCCTTTAATTACATTCGAAAAATTCAGTATGACAAAAATTTGTATTCTAAAATTTAATCTGCAATTTTGAAAATTTAGAAAATTTAACAGAGATTTAAAATGTTTATTTTACAATATATTTTAATCTATAAAAATTAGAGCACAGTCTAATTCAAAAATATGTCGACTAGTTTTTAAATAAATTTATTGTATTCATTATTAATGGCAAATTTCGCTTAATGTCAAATTTATTATGTTCATTACATATATATATATTTATTATTTAATTATATTTATTTGTAATAATATTTAATAATTTTAAAATGGTTTTCTGATTTCAGGCGAACGGGATTTGTATAATAATTATGATATCACGTAAAAATACATGTATGGCGCGTTTCACAATATATTATTTTACAAGTACATATACATAATATATTAAATATACATATCAATGTTTGTATGTATGTATATATAAAGGCAAAGTTGAAATGGGATTCTGAAATCTTTCTTTTCTGTTTTTTTTTTGTTTTACTTTTTTTTTTTTATTCTCATTGTTTTTCTATTCATAATTTTTTCGTTTCTTTAATTACATATGAAATTATAAGAACTAGACTTTAAAAAATTCAGTTGAGTTTGTGCCGTTGCGGAATAAAGAACTTAAAAATTGAAAATTTTCGGGAATTAAACGGAGTATATATTATAGTATCAAGAAAATTCTAAAAAAAAAAAAAAAATAAAAGTAAAAAAGGAACCCCTACTTGGAAAAATTTTACAAAAGAATTTTATGTACATATGTATATATGTATATATGTATTATGTATATTCCATGTATAAATTTACATTATACATGTATATATAAAAATAAAGAATAAAATACAAAAAGAAATTTTTTTTTTTTTTTACTTAAAATACAATACTGATAACCATAAAATTCAGTGATAACGTAAATTTTTAAAGTGTAAGAAAAAATGATTTATAATCTAATAACTAAAATATTTAAAATAAGTAATTGATACATAAATAACTGTATGTGTTATCATGAAAAATATCCCGAAATATTTCATATGTACATTATACTGTAATATTTTTTAAAAACATATTTCATACGTATATAATATAATTTGTATATTTATGTATTTTATATAAAAATTAAGATTTACTAAATATATTACATTAAAATAATATAATTAACATAAATGAAATTTTTAATTATAATTTAAAATAAATTATATTAAAATATTTTTTATTTAAAATTTAATATGTTTTTTAAAATATACTTATGTGTATCCGACATACGCACAAATTATTTTCATATTTAATACTTGAATCATATCAAATAATATCAAAATTCCAGAGGAAAATAAAAATAAATTTAATATTTAAAAATTTAATTTATTATATTAAATTTTAATTTAATAAGTTAAATTTTTCAAATATAAATTTTTAATGCGTCATTCATATTTTTCAAATAAATAAAATTCAAGAATATTCGAAAAATTTCTATAAAACAATTAATAAATTAAAATATTTAATTAAATGCTAATTTTTTATAAATTTTACAAAATTACGAGTATGTAAAATATTCTTTTGTTTTTTGCAGTTATATGGGAAATATACTGGAAAATTTTTTAAATTTTAAATATTAATAAAAATTACAAATTAAATCAAAATAAATTTTTTAAAATTAATTGGAATTAATAGGATTCAATTTAATTTGATAATTTTTGAACTGATGTTCTAATATTAATTAGCATATATTATTTATTAATTTACTTATGTATATATACATATATGTATGCATAATTTTTTATGTATATATTTAATAAAAATTAATTTCTATAAAGAAAACCCTGCCTATTTATTAGTTATCTGTCATTTCTAGAATTTTCTTTAATTTATATAATCTTTATTTTATTATTTTATATTTTTATATATGATTATTTAATTTTGGAAATTTAATTTCCGAATATATTCTTTTATTCGTTTTTAATGTATAATAATTTTATATATGTATGAAAGGTGCGAGTATATTATTAAAAATTTCAAATTTAGTTGGAAAGAATTATTAATTAAAATTTATTTTTTAAAATTTAACATAATTGTAATTTTAATATAAAATACATAGTGGATCCAAATAACTATATATTTATCTGTTATAATTATTTAAAATTATTTGGTTTAACTTAAAATAATTATAAATTTTATATAATTACTAATAATAATTTTTACTATAATTCACAATTAAAAATATTAATAAATAAAATTTTAAATAAAAAAATTATTTTCTTAATTTATTTGTGAATAAATTTTATTTAAATAAATTTTTTAACAAATTTTATAAATTATAGATAGTGTCAAACAAATAAATATTATATAATATTTTTTATAAATGAAATTCAAATAGAAATTCATAAAATTTCAATGTTAAGTTTTTGAACCAAGTTTTAATAATTGAAAGAAAAAAAAAAATGTATAAAAATTAATTGTTAATTTGATATGAAAAATAAAATAAAAATATTAAAATATATTTTAATTAAATTTATATATATAAATATATATATGGGTGTGAAAACACATACATGCATACAAAATTGTATAATACAAAAATCAATCTACAGAAATATTATAATTTGTGTGTAAAATACCTGTGATTCAATTCTATCAGCCTGAGTTGGTGAAAATCTAAAAAACAAAAATAAGAAAACACAAATATAATAAATAAAAAAATAAGAAGAAATAAATAAAAAGCTATAGAATATAAAAGAAAAGATTGTATTTTACTTTAATTGAAGTAATTGGAAATAATTACAGTTGTTATTTCTTTAAATTAAGCAAATAAAAAAATTAGGCAGAAGAATAATAAAGTAATAATAAAGGAAAAAAAAAGCAAACAAATAAAACGAAAAATAGTTTTCTATCATCCCTTACATACAATTACATTTTATATACATATATAAACTATACACGGGCAATAATATATAAATATTCACATAATATATACACATATGCTCGCATATACGAGTATATATATGCATATGCATAAAAGTATACTATGAAAATTGTATTAATGGATTTGATTATAAGAATTAAACGTACGTGTATGCAATTGAGCGCGCATATAAAACGCTTAATTTGAATATTTCTTAAGAAAATAATTAAAAAAAAAAATAAAGAAAAAGTAAAAATTGTATATATATATATATAATAAGCAGTTCTTTTTCTACTACTATTTTGATTAATTTAAAAAATTATAATAAAAGAAACAAAAAAAAAAATAAGAAAAATTTTATCAAAATGTCATCATTTATGTTTACGGTATTTAGTATAGCGTGCGCGGTACGACGTGAAATTTCACCTTGTACTTGTGAACCAATGCAACCACTTGATCGTAATTTACCACCACATGGTATTGAATTGGCATGTGAAAAAGTTGATTCATTTAATCAAATTGTTGATTCATTATCAAATAAATTTGCTAAAAATGATTCAATCAGTTTATTAATATCACATTCAAATTTAGAGGATCTTGAGATGAGAGCATTCACTGAAATGAATTTAAACTTAAAAAAATTACGTTTGATGTCAAATAATCTAAGGTAAGAAAAATATATATATACATATATATGTAATAAGTATATATGATAGAATAGTTTAATTAATAGATAATATTTTTTTTTAAAGTGTTTTAATATTTAAAACTTGAAGTAATTTAATAGCGCTAAGAATTTCATTATATTGCTGATTATTAAGCAATGTTTATGAACCAAATTTATTTGCAACATTTGTTTATAAACATAAATCTATCAGTTTTCACTATACATACATATGTATGTCGTAACAATATATTGGATTTATGAAAGAAAAGTCCTAGCATTATCATAAGTTTTTAAAGCCCAACAGGATTAAACAAAAATTACGATATACGATATAAGATAAAATGATTACGATTTTCAAACTATATCTGTAATATTTTATTTTATATGACAAATTGATATTTAATTGTTGAGCAAATTTTTGTTAAATCTGTAAATTTCTGCATAATTAATTCCTCTGTTAAATTTGTAAGTTTCTCCAAATCTGTAAATTTCTCCACATAATTAATTTGTTTAGACCCATCGAAATTAAAAATTAATTTTTGTTTTTTTATTAAAATTTTCATATTTTAATCTTCGTCTTTTAAAATTTTATTTCATTCGGTTTTTTTTTTCCAATTAATTTTATACATTGATTTTGCTTATCATTTAATGAGTAAATTTAAGACTGTCTTTGCAACTTTGTACAAGTTCAAATGATTACCTTCAACTTTGTTTTTTCTCTATTTTATTGAAAAATTATTATATATAATATAAAAATATTTTTACATAATATAATAAAAATAATAATATTACACAATATAAATTGTTGTTCATATTGAATTCTACAAATGTTATTGAAATCTGCAATATTTACGTTAATTTTGGTATTATACTGGTACTTATACTGGTATAAACTGTAAAGTATAAAGTTCTTAAACGCATGAATATGAATTTTATCATTGTAAAGCACAATTCATAATAATTCGCCTGTACCAATCTTATTTTTTGCAGAAATAAAAATGAACTAATCTGCATAAGTACGTTATGTTAAAATTATATTGTATAAAAAAATTTTTAATCCTAATTATTAAGATTAAAATGAATTTTGTTTGGAAATTCATTTCAATTTGGAAAAAGTAAAAAATTTCGACTACTTATTCTAATTAGAGATCAAAACATAATTATAAGTATAACGTCTAATTTATGATTGACGTTAGAGTTAAAATTTAATCTTTTAAGGAAAAGAAGTCGATCGGTATATTATGTTTTTCAAAGTTTTTAACAAATTTGATACTTCAGTCAAAATTCCTGTTGTTGACAAATCGAGTCAACTCAAATGCTGTTTTGTTCCGAATTTCCTTACGAATATTATATATTTCGATTTATTTCTATTATTTTTTTTATACCAATTAATATTTATTTATTAATAAATTATAATAACTATAATGATAAATGCTGAATTGCCAGTATTGCTGAATACTTGAATGTTTACATTATTGCTGCAAATCCCATATGTTGAGCTTGATTATTTAACTGGTTAAATTTAAATAACAAAAAGAATAAAATTAAAATTATAATAATGAATTTTCATTATGGTTAAAATACAGATTTTTCTTATAAATTAATGTTACTTTTCATTCAGAATTTTAAATCTGCATTAATATTGAAAGTGTACAAAATACAAAAATATATATGTACAAAAACATATATGAAGTTAATTATACATAAATACACTATTTATTATTTAAATGTTTCTAGCTGAAATATTTTTATATAAATTTGAATATGAAAAATTAATTTACAATAAATTTACATAAACTTATATATGTATTACAGTTTATACATATTAGTATCCATCAACATATATGTATGTATTTGAAATTTCAAAATTAAAAAAAAGTGGAAAATTTATGGTTCTTGTCTAGAAGTAATAAATTTCTCTGTTACTACTATGTATAATATAAAATATTTTTGTACTTGTATATTATATACATACACACATATATTATTCTTATAGAATTATAATTTCACATTTAGTATGTAAATTGTAAATTAATAACAAATTTTTCTTTATCAATTTTGTTTATGAACTACTCTTATCAATCATTTTTATACATATCTATACATATGTACATATATTATATGTATATATAAATTATAGTATATAGAGAATGAACTTTCACATAAAAAAATATGTTATTATTATTATTATAAAAGATAATATAAAAGGGATAATTAATACTTAATAGAATTCACATAATATATAAGTATGTATATAATGTGTTTTTGATTATTTTAGTACTGAAAACATTGGAAAAAAAGAGTTAAAAAGCCGACTTCTTAAAAATTAAATAAATCTTTCCCAAGAAATCAAAAGGCAAAATATGTTACCCTTCAGCAATTCATATTTGACTAATGAATAAAATAAATGACATATTTATTTACGTTCTGGTAAATGCCCAATTTTTGAAGTTTTTGTGATTTTAAGTTTTATTAAATTTTAATATGCACAGAAATCTATTTGAATTTAACGTATAATTTAAGTTAATACCCTGTAAATAACATATTATGACCCATTATGACTTTCAAATTGGCAAGATCTTTTTTACCTGTCAAATCTCACCTTAGATCAAAGAGAAATTAAAGAATATTTGTGACTATTCAACTCCATAGGTGGCTTTGGTATAAAAATGGAATTAGTGTTTCACTTGTAAATTTCTTGACGAATTATATTACGATAAGAGTAAATAAGAAATTTACTATGACCACAAACACATAAATAAATAAATATTAAATAAATAATAATTAAGTCTTTGCTTGTTTCTCATAATTTATTATTTTCATTATATTCACATAACAAATGAATTAATTGCTGCAGTAGCTATACATAAAAATTTAAAATTTTAAAACCGAAGAATAATTTATTCAAATAGACGTTTGTGGCACTGGAGTCGCTGCAATTAAACATAGCTACACAATTCAGTAATTAATAAAATGTTATAAGCTGAATTGTTTATTTTACACGTAATTACGATATCAGCCGAACAAAGGACCAAGTTTTACTTAACTTCAAATAAATTTTTATTATTAACTATTTCGATTGGTTTAGGATTTAAAAAATGAATAAAATATTTATGAATTTTTACAATTTACGTATTTGTGTTTGAATGCAAGTTGTGCTATGACTCCTCTATACAATAATACAGATACTTTTAACAATGTATAAATTATATTGAAGTGTAAGAAAGGTTTTTATGAAAAATGTCTGCAGTAATTATAGATTATTTATATTTGTTTTGTACAATATTAAAATTGAAAATATTTATGAATTTTATACATATAAAATCTAGTCTGTGTACACTTATTATCAGAGTATATACAGTGAAAAATAGGTTTATCAGGAATAAATACATACATACATTATGTATGTAATACACAAGTATATAATATTATAAGATTATTTTTTAAATTCAAGTGCGGTAGCAATTTTCATATAATTATTTATCTGTTTTAAATTCCTCAAACATACGCACATAATAAGAAACTAAGGTCAAGGCTATCATTATTAGGATAACACTATTATAACTAATGTTAATTTTATCTTTCCAGCTAGATTTATTTAATTTAAATTTTATAATTATTATATACAATTATTATATTTCTGATTTTGTTGTCCTGAAATAATAAAGGCTTGTTTTTAAAAAAAATTTAACATAAACTTCTTATGCATTATTTTATTTCAATTATAAATTATTTAAGTAATTTTTTTTTTTGATATTTTGTAATTGAAAAGAACCAAATTTCACGGAAGTGAAAAGAGGTACCCTATAATATGAAAGCATATTAAATAAATTTTTTGATGCACTGTAAGAAAATCTAGTCAGAAAAGTGCTATTTACGGAAATATTTTTTTTTTTAGAAAAAATAATTAATGGCAAACAATATTAAATTGATTCATTTGACTATTTGTATACGTCATTAAAAATACCAAGAATTTAGCTAAGTATAAGGTTATAAAAATGTTTCAAAAAATGATAGAAATAATAAAAACAGAAAACATGGGCTAATAAAATTAAATACAAAACATATAATTAAGTATAAGTAATTGTGTTTAGTTAATTACTTAGTACAATTTTAATTTTATTTGAAAATTCAATTGGAATACTCACAGTTTTTTAATATTTTAAAATGAATTTAATGAGCTATAGTCAAATTAAAGGAAAGTGCTTCAGAGATCACAAATTATTCTAGATATAACAAAGTATTTATTGTCTGTTAAATTCATTAACAGAGGAAATACAACAAATATTTTTCACAAAACAAAAAAAAATGTATTTATGAAGATAATTAGATTTAAAAAAGAAATTTTTATCATCGTTCTAAAAATTAATTGCTGACACGTTTTTCCATAAAAAACAAATTAAATAATTTTATTAAATTCAATGCACATTATTCATACATCCACAAATTTTTCTTATTAAAATCATATATACATAGAACAACATGTAAGTAAACTGTTATAAATCACAAGTTGAAAGTTGAAATTTTCTGACAAATTATATTTTTTGGTTTAAAATAAATCAGACATGCACGTAAGATTTGATAGAGAAAATGTCATGGTGTTAAAAATGAATAAAAAATTCAAAGAATAAAAAAAAGAAAAAACGTAAATTTAAAAAATATTTAGAGATAAGATTTTTGTATTAAGCGGACAATTTTTTAAAAATTTCATTGAGTTTTGTGTTATTCGTACATAAATATGGCATACATATATACATAGGATATAGCTGACGACTCCTTCAAATTTTTGAATGACAAATACAATTAATCAGCAAATACTCATATAATATCGTATTTTGATTGTATGTGTTTTATTAATTTCATTCTTTAATTATTTTTAACGTTTAAAAATAAAATCCAAAATCTTATCATTTCTAAATAACAAATTCAATTTTATGAACATTGTGCCGGCAAAGCAAATCACACCAGTTAACATTAAATAATATTAGTTGGAAACTGTA